CAACGTCTCAATGTTCCTTCTTATCATGTAACGCAACGTGGTCGAACGCCTTCCGCGCCTGCGCCTTGTTACAATAATAATTACGCTCATTGACATTTTTTTCCGGTTCATTCATCAGGGCTGACCCGACCCGAGCCAGAAGGCGGGTGTGCCGCTTTTGCCGCACCTCGTCGATCTCACGTGCTTTATTAGAACACAACGCCGCGCACGAACGTTTAAACACGAACACCGTGCATTCAACTTGCGCTAGATGTGTTCTCCATATTTTATTAGCGTACGAAAATAACACCGCGTCCATTTAGCTGCTCTAATTAACGACTCGGATTTGGATACTCTAAAAAAAGCGTGGCACTTCGCTTCACGGCGATTTAACGAATGGCATTTTCATAACCCCAAAAACTACCCGAGGTTAAACTATATACAGAGGAAACAGAAAATTAAGAGGAGATTCAATTATGCACCTGCCAAACGTTGAAATACAAAGCGTTTAGCGTATATATTTTTTTTATTTTTATACGCGCTTTTACAATGCTCGATCAATGTCGCGCTTCCGGCGCTACATCCTTTGTTGTCCTTGATCGTAAATTTCACGGGTCGGCAATTGTAACGTGATATTTTTTGATAATGTTCGCCAAATGTTGCCCCGAAAAGTGAAGGTTTATGTTGGAGTATTTAGTCAAATATTTTCATACACCGGACTCCACCGTCTGCTTCCGCCTCATTTCTTGCGTATGATTATACCTCGCGTATCCGACCCTCTCCGTCTCCGCTGAAGTCACCTCGCTTCACGAAGTACACGTTTTACATGGCACGCACGTGTGTCTGCGAACCCGCGTAACCACTCACGCAAGGAAACACCCTCGTTCATAGTGTCGACTGGTTAGAAGGTGCAGCGTGGATAATAGATCACATATCGTTTCTCCATTAAGGCGAATTTATATTCACTCTACTAAAATCAATATAATTTTGTATAGTTTGGATTGTGATGATAATTTGATTTTATTTTATTTTTTATTAAAACAGGAAAGTGTTAAGAACAAAAATACATTCCCTAATAAATCGATATCTCGGATTTTCTGTACTTTAGTGAATTTTTTTTTAGCTAATTCAGAAGATTGTGTGATATGATCTGTCATTTTTTTAAACCACATTTAAAGGAAATTTATCCACATTCTTTTTTTTTCTTTCTTCGCGTAATAATATCAGCGGCAATCAGTTCGATATTCGAATACAAAACTGTAACTCGGTATCGAACAACTTGATATCGAATCACCAACAAATTTCGTTCGCGATTCTATCTACCGCGAGCGCGAAGCGTTTATTCGTCGATACTCGAATAGCATAAGTACGATCTTTATGAACATGTTACTTTCCCGACTCTCGGCGTCGCGTACCGCGCTTACAATAATTACGCTCACGCAACGCGGCTCATTGACTCCTTTTTTTTCACCCTACTTTCCCCGCCGCCGCCGCCGCCGCCGCCGTCGCGGTCCATTCACCGATCCTGCCGACCGAATAACTCGCCACCTCGAGTATCTATTTGTGCATTCCATACGTTTGTGTACCGACGGTGTGTGCGTGCGTATGTGTGTAGAGGGAGACACGATTCCGTCGAGAGAAACAACACCGTAGAACGGAGCGCGACCGATCCATGGGGAGGAAGGAGGAAGGACTGTATCTTCTCCTTTTCTTTTCCGTCTTTCTATATCTCTTTCTCTTTCTCTCTTCTCGTACGTACGTGTGTGAGTCTTACACGACGAACGTTGCACTGCGGCAGGGGAACGAGATGCGAGAGGAGAGAATTTCCTGTTGTGAACATCTTCGGATGCATCTGCCTCCAGCCTCTTAAGTCCGAGCCACGCGCGAGCACGAGCACCTATTAAGGCGCCACGGATAAAAGTCACGGCTCCCTTTCCGTAATTAAGGAGTTCGCTCTGAAAGAGCGCACGCCATTAATATCTCGAGAGATACGAACTTAGGAATTTGAAACGGTGCGTTTGAAAATTTTAATCGACATATACGTATTTAAGAAAAAAAAAGAGAATACTTGGTGTAATAATTCTTTGTAAAAAAAACATGCAAAGTCAATTATATATATATATATAAATAGAAAAGAAAAATATTTTGTCGCTCTCACAACGATAATTATGTAATTATTTTCATACGATGATTACGGACGTAATCGAGGAACATATTGCAATGGACGGCGTTTAGAAAAGTTATAGCTTTTGTAAGATGCACCCCCGGTGCGAAATACCCCAGGGTTTAGTAATCCCGTCTCGGCTTTCGCGTATCTCGCCGATGACGACAGACAAGAACTAGATAGCTTATCGTCCGGCGTCCAAGTGCGCATATCAAGTACAAGGTACGGCTGTCTTTGTCGCGTCCCCGTTGTCCCATTCCTCCACCTCGTGCTCGCGCGCGCGCGCGCGATCTTCCCCGCGTTTGGCACTTCCCGTGTATATACTGTGTATGCATTACGGTCGTTCACACGGGCACGAGCGATGGAATGCACCGGCGTCGCAACACGCGCCCGCGCGCGCGCGCGCGCGCGTTCGCAGGTTCGTGGAGAGGAACCGTTAATGAATCTTCCAGTTTTTTTAGACCGCCCGTGTGTGTTGTCGGACGTGTCTCGTCGGCGCGGCAAAAGGGGAAGGGCAATGGGATGACGGAAGACGCGGGCTGGCCGGAACGGAACAGGGTTGGGATCCTCTTCCTCGGATTGGAAGAAAAGAGCGCGAAAAAGCTCGCCGCGAAACGCGTGTATTGGGAATACAAATCGTGATGTGATTTCCTTTGACATTTTCTTTTCTCTCTCTCACTCTCACGCTCTTCATCTCTCCGTGAATTTTCGATTTCAGGATAATGTAATCCCGCAAGAACGACTTTCTTTTGCGTGTGAAAAGCTGAAGAGTCGTAGTACGAAGATCTCGAGAGAGTATCTTTTTCAGCATTTTTTGTGTGCTAAAAAATTAAAATTGGATAAAAATGGAGAATAATTTAGTCTTATTTTTTATTTTATTATAAAATTGATTTGTGTCCTTGCATCTGCAAAGTTTATTTATTTTTAGACAATAAGACTGTTGTTTGTTTACATTTGTTAAATTTATTCGCTATTCTCGCGCATTCCATGAAATTTGACGATTATACACATCCATCAAATATCCGGAATCCGCGCACCGGGATCCGTTCATTTTTCACAAGCTTCACATATCTTTCAATTCTCTCGTATGTGTTGCGTTAAGAGAGAGAAAGAGAGAGAGAGAGAGAGAGAGGTATCGGTGCCAGCAAGGCCCAAAGCACGCCGATACCGGCGGTCTCAGAGAAACAGGAGAAGTGAGACAGGAATGAGAGGGAGAGAGAGGAAGGGAGGGGGAGGGGGAGA